ACCCGATCCGCCGGGACCCCGGGGCACCCGAAGCTTCCACAAAACCAGGCAGGAAGGTCCCTTCCCCGAAGTTTTGCTCGTCCCCCCATTCCCCTCTTAAGTCCCAAACTGCCCGTGGGGCCGGGGCAGGAACTCCACTCACGGCGCTGAGCAGGGAGCCCAGGAGGAGACACGGCAGCGGCAGGCGGCCCATGGCGAGGTGAGAAGCGGGCGGCGGGCAGGCGCGCTCGACGCTCTCGCTCTTGGTAACTCCGGGGCCGCAGCTGTGGCCCCGCCCCCAGGGGCGTGGTCTTCGAGGGCCAATCGCGGCGGGCCTCGCTGGGGGCGGGGTTCCGGGCCACGCGCGGCTCCGGGTTTTCCCCCGGGACGCCCCCCAGCGGTCTCATTCCCCTGGGAGCTTAGGGATGCGCCGGGAGGGAGGCGCGGAGGGCCCCGGGGGAGCTCTTCCCCCTCAGCCTCTGGGACGGACGGCGAAGGCCGAGCTGAAGGGAGGGAGGAGTCAGCAGGAGGGGGGCCGGGGCGCGAAGAAAGGGAAGAGAGATCCCCACGGGTGCTGGGAAGACACCACAGGGACCCCCACGGTTCTCCCCCGCCGCCTCCGGGAATCCCGGCAGAACCGAAAGCGTCCCCGTCGCGGGTGGAGGGGACTGAGGAAGTCCCCCCACACTTACCCCACGACGGGAAGGCCACAGCTGGAGTGCGCGGACGGCTGGGAGGCGTTTCAGGGAAAAGCGTTTCCCGCTTAGAGTTTCGCTCTCTTTCAAAGGAAATTCCCTCGTGTGGGCCCAGCGTCCCTGCCTCCCTGTCCATCCGTCTGTCCGTCCATCCGTGCATCCGTGCATCCATGCGCCCGCCCCCACCCCCCACCCGATTCTATTCCGTCCCAGTTTCCACCCGTCTCTGAGCACGGGGGCGGCCTTTCGAGGGCTCGTAGGACCCCTTGAGAATCTTAGGGGACTCAGGCCCTCCGGCTCTGCAGAAACGCACCCCCCGGCGCCTACATTTCCCCAGTTCTGGCCCTCCAAGCCTTTCCCGAACCAGCGTTAACACCCTCTGCTCTGCAGTACGCAGCGGACCCTTGGGTTCCTGGGTTCCGGTCGGCTCTGCCTCTGATGCGTGGAGTCCCCTTGAGCGCAATTTTTTTCCCAGTGAAACCTGAAGAACTTGAACTGCGCAGTGGTTGGGGTGATGACCCTCCACGCTCTGAACTTCTGGGCCAGGTCAAAAGGCGAGGGTGTGCAGAGCTGGGAGGACGCGGAGGGGGGGCTGCTAACCCCGTCCTCCTAGATTCAGATGCAAAGGGCCCCGTGGACCCTACCTCTGGAAGCCATCCCCTCTTTTCCATCACCTCCGCCACTACCCATAAGGCTCCTCATCTTCCACTTAGGCTGTCCCAACAGCCTCACTCATTCGATAAATATTATTGAGTCCCTACTATGGGCCAGGCCACTCTAACGGGTCCTCTCTCCCTCTCTCCCTCCTTCCCTCCCTCTCTCTCCCTCTCTCTCTCATTCAGACTGCAGTTCCCTTTATAAACCCCAGATCTAATCTGATCAGGACACTCCACTGCTTAAAAAATCTCTTTGGGCTCCCCTATACCCTCAGGATAGTCCAAACTCCTCCTCGCAGAGCGAGCCCTTCTCCACTCAGCCCCAGCCTCTCTCCCCACTCACTCCCTGCCAGGTCCCCCCACGCATACTGGCTTCAGCAGTGCTCACCTCCCAATTTCCCAAACACACAACTTTTTTCTTACTGTGTCTTGCCGTTTTTCTTCCTTCCCTTCTCCTTTCTGGAACCAATTTAAATGTTGCCTCCTCTAAGTTTCCTCTTAACCCCCTGAGACGCAGGTAGATACCCCTCCCCCGTGCTCCTCCAGCATTAGGGTCCATCTGCCTGGCCACGTTTGATTGTGAGCTCCTTGAGGGCAGGACCGAAGCCATCCCAGTCCTGCGCACACCGTAGAACAGCCATCGCTGAATGAATGCGCGAGTGGGCTCAGTGCCTTACCATTCTCATCACAGCCTCCATCAGGAGGGAAGCCGAGGCAGGAGCTGCCGAGCTGGTAGTTGTGACACAGCCCTCACTCAGGCTGGCGGTCAGATTCAGACAGTGGAGGAACACTAGAAATCAGCACCCAGAGCACATCATGAAAGCCACTCAAGCTGGCCCAGGATGAAGAGAACATTAAAATATATTTTTTGCCTTTTTAAGCCACTTCAAAAAAACAAGCACAGTTTTAATTCCCTGGGGGTGGGGGGCATCACTACAGTAACTTCAGCCATTACGTATTCTTTATTTGCTTGATTTCAAAATTGGACCCTTCACAAAACTGCCCTGGGAAGCAAATACACAGAATTAAAACATTAATTATATTATATAAAACATATCAGAGCGGCAATTAAAGCAGCTTAAATTAACATGTGAAAGAAGAAATAGTAGCCTTCGGCTGCCCCATGGGGCGAAGACCAGATAGGATAAAAGAAGATATTTTAGTGTATGTATATCCCGAGGAAACATGTGCTGGCAGGCACAGGCCCAGAGGAGCCAGGGGATCTACTTGGGCTGGGAAGAGTAGGCTGGAGAAGGAAAGAGAGAAGATAATGCATGGGGAGGGTGGCGATATTTCAGAGTCCCATCAAAGAGGACTATGAAGGGTTCTGTGATGGGAGTAGGGCAAAGGGTAGTAAAAAAGTGGGGACCCAGGATTTTGGAATCATAGAGAAAATGGCCTTCATAGGGGAGTTGTGGTCATAGGGCCAGGTGAATGGGTAAGGGGTGTGCCTGAAGGTCAAGTCCATAGCACTGTCACAATCTAGCTACCAGATGGTTCTACTATGCAAACCCCATTGTGTTGCTCCCAGATTTAAAACAACTCCCCAGAGCCCTCACTCCTTAAGTTCACAGGGCCCAAGGCCATGGGCTTCCTGGCCTGCATGTCTAACTTCCTTCCTGCCTTCAACGTGCTCTCCAGACTGTGCAGTCACCTCTGCCTGGAAAGGCCTTCTACGCTCTCCTTTTATTGAACTAGCTCCTTCCCATCCTTCAAGGCTCAGCTCAGGTGCCCCTTCTTTGGAAAGCCCTCTCCAACAGCCAACCTGGGATGTGCACACCTACCTCCTGTGCCCCCTCCGAATCTTGCAGCTGCTTACCTATGCAAGACTCCAGCCCTACCACACTATATTTCAATTATTCTGTTTACTCATGAAACCAGTGTACTGAGGCGACTCAACTCGGTGGGGCATACTAATGAAGCGCTTTCCCCCTAATCTCGGCCTTCAGCCCTGCTGTGCTGAATCTCCCTTTTCCATCCCTTAATGACATCTTGGGCAGATTGCATTACTTCTGGATCACTTTCTGTTGTTAAACCTCCATCCTTGAAAACTTTATTCTCAAACTCAATTTAAATCTCATTTTATCTTCTCCCTTACTCATCCAAGAGTTGGCTTGAGCCAGGTCCCTGCCTGCTTAGATAAAAGGTGGGGGTAGGAGGCATGGCCTGATTGGAAGACATGCCCCAGCACCCTCCCCCTTATTGAAATTGAGAGGAGAGAATGGAAACAGCCCTCTGCAATAGCCCTCTCCTTCTCACCCAATCCTGCTTTCCCAGCCAACCCAGAGTGGCAAGTGTCCAAATATGGTTTCTTATGGGGCACACGAGTAAGTTTCCTGGAGGCTTCCCTACTGCACTGTTCTTTGACAGGGGACATCCAGGCAGGTTTGAGCTCTCCTTCGATGCCTAGGTTCCTGCCACTGGGGAGACCTTCTTGTTCAGCAGTCAGACTGCTTGCTGGGATAACAGAAAGCCTAGCCAACTACTGAAGGGTCCACTCGACCCAAAGAAACTCGCCCATCTTGGCCAGCTGCTCCATAGTGACACCTCTCTCCACCTCTCTTCTCGCCTGCTCAGATAGGCACAGGGGGACATCAGCAAGTCCACTACCCCAGTGGGGAACAGCATCCCAGTATCCTTTCTTGCAGTCATCCCTCAATCTCCATGAGAGACTCCCAATTAAAGTTAGGATTGTCTCCCACCATAATATATAATCCTCAATAAAACCAGACAACTCTTCCCTCCCCAGGATTATTAAACGGGCAAGGAAAAAGAAAGTGATGTTTTGACTAAGGATGGAGGGCCAGTTCTGCCCCCTTTAGCAAAGCTTGGAGGGAAAGTATCTGGCTCCCATTTGGAATGCCAGGTACATAGGACATGTTGGCTTTGGCCGTGGGTCATAGTGCCAACTCTTAAATAGCAGGGAACTCCCACTCAATAACCATTGGACTGAGCCATCCCTCATACCTAACTTGATCCCTGAAAAGGAGGATCTTTGTAGCCTGATTCCCATAAAGAGCCCATGAACATGCTGGATGCTGAAAAACTGTTTGTTGAGTGAAGGTGGGACTATATGAGACTGAAGGGATCCATCAGGATCTACCTGCTCATTCCACACTGTCCTGTGTAGCTGTCAATTTTCCCCAGATGACCAGGCTCTCTAGTTGGGATTCCCAGGCCCAACTGTACACAAAAATTTTTCCCTTCAGCTCAGCAGAGTTGGGTTGGGATTTATCAGAGGGAAGTGAGAAACTCAGGAAATAACCCAACCAGAAATTAAGGAAACCCAAGAGTCATCAAAACAGATGGGGGGGGGCCACACAGATGGGTGAGTTAAGTAAGTATAGATCTTTATCTTGATCATGACCTAATAATAATTCCTAGAGAAGGAGACCTTGGGTCTGGTCCTCAGGCTTCATGGGCTCTGATGTCTGGAATAAGAGATGGCTTTGGTTGGGAGAGGGTAATCCAAATTCTTCACCATGACCTCAAGATCCTGCGTGATCTCTGGTTTCTACTTACCTCTCCCTTCACTCGCCCACTTGCCTGCTACACCTCAGCCATACAGGCTTCTCAATTCCCACCTCAAAACCTTTGTCTGTGCTGTTCCCTCTGCCTGAAATGCCCTTCCTCCCACTCTTCATTCGTTGACTCTGCCTCACCGTTCAGTTCTCCTGGCAAATGGTACTTCCTCAGAAAGGCCCTCCTGGATCACCTTATCTAATGTGAGTTCCACCACTGCCAACCCACCTTCCCCACTGCTGTCCTCTCTCATAGCTCCTGTTCTAGCCAGAGTTGTCACCGCAGGCGAGAAAAGACAGAGCTGGTGAATTTAAGTACGTAAAAGAGAATTATTGGAAAGG